AGAGAAATAAAATGTACTCAGGGTTCCTTGTTTATGGCCTGCTTACATTATTCTGAATATGTATATAAGGGCTCTCCAAAAATACAATTCTCAGTGATCGTATGTGGATCATCTAGCTCTATGTATTGTTCTGAGAAATCAGCAAAAAACACACACTCTATCTCACAATGTTAAAGGCAGTGGAACAAAAAGTCCACCCCCTGATATGGAGCCACTTCAAAGTCCAATGCCCCCCCCCCCCCGAGTAGTTTTGGGGTAATCCTACTAATTTAAGAAACACAGACTCAAACACAACCTCCATGGCAGATGCAATCAGTCCACAAGTCATCCTCACCATGTTTCTAGCTTCACATCTAACATGCCCACATCACTTCTGCAGGTCAGAGGTGGCTTTGTGCTGCAGACTGCGTCAAGGTGTTTGGTTTCCTTCAGATTCACTGTGCAGAGACTTCACAGCTGAACCCAAGACATGTGAACTCGCTGCCAGCTGCACCGACAGTGTTATTATGACAGGCTTCTTTGTGAAGTGATATTTTATTTCACTCACTTCTGAGCGTTGCGACCCTGAAAGAGAAGGGAGTGTGGTAACTTGGAGGATTACAGACACGTCTGCCAAACAGGGAGCAATGTGCAACGAGGAGGTGATGGAGCCTTGCAACGTGCATCTGGAACAACAGTGTTCCATTCTCTCTCTGATGGGGTTTTACTGCAGAGTGCACGAGCCTGTGTTATCCCACTGAATGACATCTGTCTGTTTAGGGGGGATTCCAAGCGTTTTCCACATGGAGGCTCCTTCACTGCAAATATGTCCACCAGTTCAAACAGCTTCAACACAACGCAGCCCTGCGTTTTCACTGCTGGTTTCTGCAAACCAGTGAAACTCACAGCAGGAGCTTCGTGCATCTAACGACCATGTTGCTTCACGTGTGTATTTTACCTGCTGAGCTGACATCCTCCTCAGAGCCAGAGAGTCCACGTGTCTTCTGCAGGAGAACTCAACTCAGCCCTAATATGTCGAGGTGCACTCAGAACCACCGATCAAAAAAATACTGTCAAAAGTCTCAAGTGTTTACTTCCTGCTTTGCTCTCACCTGTTGCGACACAGCATTTCCACGCCCACTTGCAGGAGCCGTCACGCGGTGTGTGTAAAATGCAGTGTCACGTGGTCTTCAGAACAGCCTTCAGCCTCATTTCTTCACCATCTTCACAGCTTGAGTCCACATGAAGTGTGGAAACACTTGCAAATGGGATCATATTGATTCTTTTTCAGAGGATGAGTCCTTCTGTCGCCCACAACCTGCATGTCTACAGTCATGTGTGGTGAGATGGTGTGTTAGGGCTGTGGTGGAGGCCAAAAGAGGGAGATTGTGAGAAGTCGGAATTTAATAAAAAGAGAAATTAAAGAAAAAGAGAAATTAAAGAAAAAGAAAACTGAGCAGTCAGGAGAACCTGTGCTCGTCAGGGTTCAAATACTGCTGGATCTAAAAGCTTGAACCAATGTGATTGTTGAGAAACATTAAAACTCCTTGAAACCACTAACAAATATTTCCTCCTCCACTAAAGAGATACTTTGTCTGTGAGGTTCTTTCTTCAGAATAAATACAGTTTCTGGAGCAATCTTTTCAAAGTCCTGATGATGTGACGCTGATGAGCCACATGAAGTTTAAACATACTTTATGTTCTTAATATTAGGAATACATTCTTTTATGATTATGACTTAATTTTCAAAATCTCAGATTTAATTTTCCCTTCAAGATGCCCTCATACTCTGCTGTGTGAGCATATAAATATATTAAAATGTTTTCAATCCAATTTCTTTTTATTTCGACACCCGAGGTCTTGTTCAGGTAAGGCTTGATTTTCACTGTAATTGGAATACATGCCTGGTGGGAGTAAATATTGAATTTGTAGAAAACCATATTCAGAGTCTCATCAACCTAGTTTGCTCAAAAAGTAAAGACGACTCTGACATGGGAAAAATAAAATCGTACACATGCTGCCACTTTTCTTTTTTTTATATTTTGACAAAATTGCCCTCTCTGACCTGAGCCCATTATATTAGCTGGGCCTAACAGATCTGGTTGAGGTATAGTTTTTATATATAGTTTATTAAAACAACCGTGAATCACAATGAGATAAATAAATGTTGTTATTTCACTTCTTTTGTTTTCCCTTTGTTTTCTTTCATTTCATCTCAGGCTGTTAATGATGAATCGGTCTCGTCTCAGCGGCTCATCAGGTGTGATCAGTGTTTTGGCAAGACTGATGAAAAGACCTGCCAGTCCCACGAGCTCTCCGTCTGTTGTTATTGCTGGTTAAATTTACAGGCCATTAAAAAATAAAAAAGCACACACAGATACAGGTCCATCTGTGAAAACAATTATTACAACACAGTAGTCGTAAAGAAAAAGAGGAGTATTCAACATTTCAAATGCATAAAAATCACTTTCATCTTCTTTTATTCTTTTTGCCTTTTGAGTCACTTAATAGAGGCGAGTGCAGCTCTGTCCAACAGTTAATTAAAATCGAGGTAAACACAAGAAATCACAAGCATCACGTTTCAATTTAAATTAATTAAAATGATATAAACACACATTAATTTATTTTCAATTTCCAATTATGAAATGATGATGAAGAACAAAACCCCCTGCTTTTGAAAGTTACCCAGAACTAAATTTAGATGTAATGAAAAGAGGAAGTTCTTTCAGAAGGCTGGCGTATTCATTTGATCGCCAAAGCTTCTTTTTATCGTCACATGTGCTGGTGAGAGAACGACATTTCCACTTCCTACAAAAAGCTTGCATGTGGTTTATTGAGTCCCACTCTCTTACTCACTAACATCACTCTATTTAAAGTGACACACAGTTCTTGTTAGTTTCCAAAATAAAAGAGCATTTAAAAAAAGCAACGTGAAAGGGTTTTAGTGAATGGGTTGTTAATGTCTACTTAGTTAGCCTTAAAAAAAACCCTGAATTCATTCACTCAATTATCCACAGTCAATGTCACGTGAATGATTCATTATAATTCTCTCGAGCTTTTATCTAAGCGAGCTCGTAGTACTTCCCCGTGTTTGGATCGAAGTAGCAGTTCAGGCAAGAATCATAGTGCAGATTCAAATACTCGTCCTCCAGCTCCTCTTCATCGCCACCTGAAATAATGCCAGAAAATCACTCAGCATAGAAAGCAGTGCAACAGTATTCCACGTAAATGAATTGCGCACAGACAAAAATCTATAAATGTAATCTGTGTATTGTATTTTTTTTTAATGTACAGTAGCAAAACAGTGCCAGATATAAAAAAGGGGGGCACATACTCAACTGTTCACTGAAATAAAATGAGAAGCACGGCGAGTGAGGTGACCTTCAGACTCAGGTGGATTTAAAAGTTTTCTGTCGCTGCCATTTTTTTTGTTCATCAATCAAGACCTGAGACACCCAGAGCCGGCACCACATTATGAAGCTGTAAAGAGATTCCCTGTAATCCCCGCTTCTTTAAAGCATGAGAATTTAGCTGCTAAGCTGACAGGCAGTTAAATGCTAAAAAGGTTATGGAATGCTCCAAGAGGAACATTTTTATCTTATCAGAACTTAGGCGATGATAATGAAAACTAATTATAAGACACATTGTGTAAGAGGTTTTAAAATGATGCTGTAAACTGGAAAGGTTTCATCAATTAACCTTGTCGGTGTGTCTAGGGGGTACGGACCTGTAATGAGCCTGTCTCTTTTGACCTATGGAGTTATGTGGAGGACAGAGAGCTCCACTCTCATGGGTTTTTTTTTAATTTTTTTTTTTACTCTTAATTAGGTACAGTCTCACACTCTGCACAAAATAAGTCTTTGGCGGAAAACTTGAACATTAAGCTCTGACCCTCGCGAATGTTTCCATTGCGTGTATGTATTTGTGTGGAATTACTGTGGTTAATGTTAAAGTGGTGTTTGCCATCTCCCAGACTTCACAGGACGCATACGGGTGTCTGGAGGCAAAAGGAATAAAAATGAAGGCCACTGTACCTCCAACGAGATTCTCCCAATTGTTCCATGTGTTCCCTGACCTTCTCGGCTGGCTGGGGGGCATAATGGGAGGGCTGAGCACGTCCATCCACTCCCTGGGGAAACCACCATAAAGGCACACAGTTATGACAACACAAAACATTACACCCACCGTGCTACCACTGTAACCTGCACATCAAATTGCCTCTATATGACATTTTAACAATGAAGTCCCATCATCGTGTGCTTTCACAAGCACATCTAAGCCTCCATTGTCCTTGAGCCACTTCTCCTGTACACTTAGACTCTCCGCCTCATGGTTTTACCTGAAGGATCATTTATTAGATCTTGATTCAAGCTGTGACTTCCAAGTGTCCACATTCTGGCCCTGCGTAGGTGTCTTAACCTTGTCTGTGTCAGCGAGAGCAGGACTTCCTTTCCTCCCTAAATGAGTTTATCCTCCCTGTCTGAGAGGCATGCAGGCTCCGACTATACATCAATCACTCTCCAGTAAATGAAGACACTGCTGTTTAAGTATGGAGTAAGGGATTAGAGCCAGAGGGGGGGGAAAATGCCACAAGATGAATTATTGCTTGGGAGCGCTGCGAGATTCCTTCGTTAAACAGAATGCATAATCATTTTAGACTATACATCAGTTGTACAATTATCCATTAACATCTTTTGCCTCTGGACTTAACATCTCATAAGAGCACATCATGACATATTTAATGAGGAAGTGAAATGTACAATATTCAGCTGAGAGCAGGGAACTCAAATATTTACATCTGCTTGTGGGAGGCAACATCCAGAACTGCAATGACTGATAATGTCGCTCAGCACATTCAGCAGGATGCAATCAAAAGATTTACATTTATCTCCACTGAGTTACTTATTATAGAATAGGAAACGAGTTTTAATGGCTGCCAATGTATCGTTATTTTAAATTTTACAGTTTTTTTCTCTTTCTGTCTTATTTCTCTTTCTATCTAATTTCTTTATTTTCTGTATGACGTTTGTTGAAATGCGTAGTGACTGCTGCAAACTATTTCTCTATCCTACATTTCAATTTTGGACTTAAGTAGGCATGAAAATAAATGCGCATAGTCTTTTTTTAAATAAATAAACATAAGTATAAAAAAACATAAATACTATGATCTTCAGCGGTGACATAAAAACACAGAAGATGCCAATGCCACCTAAAGAACTGTTTGATAGTATAAGAACTAATATTGTAAAACCTGTGGGGAATGGAGAAGGAAAATCACAGCTTTTAAGTGAAATGTAAACATTAACACAGCTTCGTTTTATCAGATTTTTCCATCCATTCTGACGTGAATTAGAAATGAATTCTTTGTCTAACCGTACACTTTCACAGTGATCTAGTGCATTATCTCTCTCAAGGCTCTGATTTTTATTTCTAACAAAATCATTTACCATACTCTAACACCCCTTTGACTGCGTGATAGGCAGGAACATCGTACAAAAGTTAATAGAAGCAATTTTCAAGGACAAGGGCCTCTGCTGCAGAGCTGCAAATTGGACTTCAGCTTGTGAAGTGGGACTTGGTGTGAGTGATTAAATTCTTAGATTTTTGAAGTCATTATAATCCAGATATGGAGGAATGTGCGATAAAGGGAATAAATGAGTTTGATTTAATTTGAGCCCACTGTTTCTGCTCATCTGTCGAATATGCTGAAATAAAGGTTTGCAAATATCTCCCAGTGAAACAGCACATAGACAATTCTGTTTGTCTGACAAGCTGGCAGCTGAAGTTCACAATAGGCCATTGTAAAACAATTTGAATTGTAACGCAAGGTCTCTCTGGCCTGATTCATGGTTTCACTTTTGGAAGACAGACACAAGAATCACATAAAACATGTTAAAAGAGGCTGGAGAAGCCCTGGCAGCATTAAGCTCAGCAACACAATTTGAGCTGCTTAACGGTGAGGAAGCTGTGCAGCGGTGCCAGGATGCTGCCAACCCACCATGATAAAATTCACTGTAAGGGTGTCTCAGAATGCAACGCCTAAAAGAAAAGAAAGAAAACAAGGACAGTTCCTGTGCAGCTGCTCTTCAATATGTAAATGCTTTGGAAGTCTAATTTCAGAAGTACAGCTGTGGATGCTGCGTGACAAAAGCCACAGAGTGTGTTAGAGGTGTCTGTCAATAGCAATATTCATTTCAGTGGACATTAAATCACACAGAATAACCTCACTGAAAATGTAAAAAGCCCAAAGACATGTTCGCACTGAAACAAGTCAAAAAAGAAGAAGCAGAGCAAGTTCCTGCTCTTCCCCGATGTTGATCAGTTGTATTATATTCAACACTTTTAAAAAACACAGAATACATTTATTTGAAATATGTTAATACATGCAAGTCGACACGTGTTCACACCAGGCCAACTTGCTTTTCATCAATAAATCAGAAGTGTTGGAGAAGCGGCGCTTACATAATTTGAGAAGCGGAACAATGATGCAATCCCTTTGTCTTCTGTTGTAACCTGCCGTATGGTTGTGTGTACCCACAAAGAGATGGAGATTTGAGGAGGTGGAGTCTGCGTACGGGGTCTCCAGAGCCCCCAGAGGAGAACTGCCATGGTCGGGTGTTGATACAGTAGTGAACAAGCTTTAGAAGCTGTCCAGAATTCAGTCAGTGAGGTTGCAATACACACTTTGCAATGCTGCTGATATTATACCCGTGTTATTGTATTATTAATGTCAGTATTACAGGTATTTCAGCTGAGTTTCTTACCTCACGTTCTCAGCAGATTGAACATGTTAAATCTGCTTCTGAGAGCTATTTGACATGAGCCTGAACTCTGAGATATTTTCTCTTCAGGCAACATTATTGAGGGTTAAACTATTTCATTTCATCAAGTAATGTCAACTATGAAGCCAATTTCACTTTCTTTACAGAAAACATTCCTCTCTCTGACACGTCTTTCATCGCGGCATAAAAATGTTAAGCACTCGTCGAAGGTATTTTCTGATTAAGTGCTGTAACCTACCTTTGAGTTGTGTCCACTATCTTCTATTTCACTTTGTCAACCACCACTTCATTTATTGAGGCATCATTTTGTATGTGTTCTTCTAAGCATTTTACATTTATTTTATGCACCTCACCAGTTTTTGGGGAAAAATAAATAAAATAGCAGCTCCAAATTCTTCAGCCTCCTGCAGTAATGTCAGTTCTTTTTTAATGTTAGAACTTGCTCTCTGGTTGGAACCTGTAGGCAGGTAAAACAAGGTGGAACCTGTCCTGTGGCTGTTTTGTTTTACAAATGCTGAAGCTCCCGCTGGGCAGAAACGGGCCTTTGCCTCATCAATGATGGATTTCTGCCTGTATTGCAGCTGAAAGTCAATGTTAAACCAAATGTCTAAACCGTGCGTTTTGATGTTTTTTTTAATGACCTGAACCAGGACCTTGATATCTAATATTAATTACTGTATCAAAAGCCAAGGTAACAACGTGCCATTAAAAAGTTGCCAGTATAGAATCTGACAAGCACAATAATAAGTAAAAAATAATTAGCACTTGTGAAACTGCCAACAGCAGCCGAGGGAGAAGGAGACTAAAGCGCCTGGAACACTCTCAGTTTATTTGTACTCATCTGTGAGAGAGATAAGCCCCCATCTGCATATCTGTCTGACAGTTGACATTTAGGCTTTGTACTGTAGTCAATGGTTACCATCTGATTATGAATCTCACAGGATGTTTTATGGACAAGGATTCAAATACAAAAACAGGTTACATTAGGCCACTAATGTCAGGCTTTACATGAAATACATCAGAGTGGCAATTTTAACTACAAATCATAAGAAAGTGTAAAACATAAAACAAGATTTTCTACGATTGGAATACGGCTTTTTCTTGTCTTTCGTGAAATGTACATTTTTTTATAACTTAAAAGATTTACTGGACATTAGTTAAGTGACACACACTTGCTTACCTGGGGTCTGAGTGTAGGAGGGGGTTCATTTCATTCTGATAGTGGGGTCCTTGATTAGCTGGCTGGAATGGTAATTGAGGGAGAGAAAGTAAAAGGATCAGTTAAAATGTTTCCAAATTATGAAACTGCAAGTATTTATATATAATGTTTACTGGCTGGACAATAAAAAGACCCCAGCTCCCTGTTTCATTCAATTTAGTCCACTAGCAGACTGTTATTTCACTGCAGTGGCACTCCATAAATGTCTTCTTGTTTCCTTTAAATAAAACTTTCATATCATGACAAAAATGTGACATATAAATGAATTAAGTCTACACCTCCAATCCTCATTGTGTGACTGGGATCTATGTATATGCTTAGGGCAAACAATGTGTAATAAAAATCACTGTTTCTCTGGCAAGCAGACAGAGAAAAACAAATAAGAGGGAAAATGGACAGAACAGTAAGTCGCAGCAAAGCAAAGAATCAAGTTTTATTTGTCAATGTGCTTTTGTAAAGCAGCTACAGTTTTGAGAGCTGCGAGTGAGAGACTTTTAGCGGAGGAATAATTTAGAGGTAAAAGATAAGAATGGTTTCACTGTAGTAATATTCAGCGGTACAAAACACAAGTGCACCATCTCCATCTTGTCAAAGCTTAAAACCACATTATAGCCTCAGGAGACTATTTAAGCCTAGGGCCTGTTTAAACACTATTATGTTACATGACAGTGATGAAGAAGCAGTCATGTTGAAGCTGCAGCGCCTGCATTGCTTAAGTAAATTTTACCTATCTGTGTGCTCCAGTAACTTCTTTATGTAATCCTCCTCTAAAAATAAGTCGAGACCTAAAGTTGTCCCCTGTGGAATTCTGCAGGTAATATGCACTGATGATGATGAGTTGCCTGTAGGGTGATGGAGAAAATTCTGTTGAGGAGATAAGAGCCGAACCATTTCTGGGCTCTGTCTGTAATATTAAAGCCACCTCCTCACATTAAACCGCTCTTTTGAACTTGCATGAAGCACAATTTCAAAGGGATTTCTTAAAAAGATTGTTTTTTTCTAAAAGAATTACAAGTACACATCTGCTGCTTAAACTGGTACATCGCTTATTTTGAACCTTTTGACATCACTTCTTGATCCGGTGTGGTCAGGGGTGTGAACGCAGCGGTGCTGAGTGTCTGTAGCTGCAGAGGTAGTGTGATGACTCATCTTAAACACTATCTGCTCTACGGTTTCACAGAAAAACACAACAGGTGTGACTAAGCCTGTTTTTAACCTTGCGGGAAATGACAGTCCAACAGAAAATATTTTCAATAAACTCTTGTTTCTGATCGCGATGCTTTTGAGTCTATTATTTCTGGTCATTAACTGTATATGAAGATGGATGATATGACTGAAAAAAAAGGAATACAATCCCACGGCTCCATTCCCCTTATTTCTGTAAATGACGTCTTCAGCACACAATGGCAGCGTTTGTATCAAGGATATTTTAGCTTCATTTGTGGATAGTGGAGGCAGGTTTGAGATGCATCGTCCATCTTCATATAAATATCATTTTTCTGGCTCTTTACCTGCCCTGTTATCGAAACATAACACACCTTTTTGTTATAAACTTGCACTGAATAGCATCTGGTGAAGCTCAACCAAACAATGCTGGTGTTTTATTTTAAACATCCATCTTACTGCCCTATTTATCATCAGGTGGGAACCAGGTGACAGTCGGTCGACCAGCTCCACTCTGGTTCCTGTTTTCTTTCTGTGTCTAAGGTTCCTATTGTTTACCTCAACTATACAACTATGCTGGTAGATATACAGGCAGAGCAGTATTACATTAGTGAATCTTAGAACACTTCCTCCTCATATAATTTCCTCTCCTAACACATCTAATATTATAAATTCTCCCTTGAATTTAAGATATTTCGCACCACTAAATATATGTATATATAGAAATATATATATATATATATATATATATATATATATATATATATGTAATGTACTTGTACATGTGTTATTAAATGAGGCTCTAGCACACCTTTTTATTCTAACATTTTTCTTGCTGAGCTCAGGGCCAGTGTTCCAATGAAGACATAACTTTCGCTGGATATAAGTCATTTAGATGTGACAAGAAAGGTAAGGGAGGTTATTTCACTGCACAGATACTTAATACCTAAGAACATTGAGTATGTTGGTCTGATTGCTTATGCCAGGGGAAATGCATTATTCCTATTAGTATTAACCACCCTTATGGGAATGAATGGTCAAGCTCACAGTAAAAAAACCTTAGTTCTGTTTGTTTTTTCCACGTGAGTATCAAATGTTGACAACGACAAATAGATCAAATCCATGGTTTTCTCCCGTGAACCTGCTCCAGCTATTTGTAACAGAAAGATATTACAGTCTCATGTGAGCGCTTCTGGCACAAACACTGACTGGCAGAACTTTAGACAGCAGAGGAACCGTGTCATCAGCTTTATATGAAGAACTTAATATAAATGCCTTCCATTATATTACAAACTGTTTATTCTAATCAATACTGTAAATACTTTTATTTTCCATTTCACATTGTATCTATTGAACTTTTGTCCGTCCTAGGAGAAGGATCCCTCACATGTTAAGTTTTTTTTTATTAGTTTTTCCTTACTCTTGTTGAAGGTTAAGGGCAGAGGATGTCACACCTAAAGCCCTACAAGACAAATTGTGATTGACAATTTGATTGATTGATTGAGATGTAATATTTGTGGATGCTATTACTTCTAGAATTTAGATTTTCTCTCAAAAAAGATTGGATTTGGTCCACATGAGATGTCTTGAACATGTCATTCGACTGAGTTGAAAACTAACTTGTTTAATTCTTCCAACCTGTAATGATCATGAGTGTTTCCTGTTCTTTATCTCTTCCATTGCTGTTAATGGCTGTGATCACATATAGGTCCAAGAGAAATAACTCTTTCTCTGACAAAGTGATATGAGAAGAGAGAGAGAGAATATGCAGCAAATGTAGGACCACATACCAAAGTGTTAGTTACTAGGCTGAAGATAAAAGAATCAACTTGTAGACATGTGAAACTGGATTTTAGCATGCAGTTGCCTCGGGGGGTAAAGTTACATCTAAGCTGGTACAGTAAGCTGCAGCAGCATGGGCGGCAACAGCAGGGACCACTTAAATCACAACACCCAGAGGCAAGAAATGGCTTGTCAGTTTCAGTCCCAGCACCAGAGAGGAACTATTCTCTTCCATTGTCCCATAAACGCCTTGTTTTTAATCTTTGAAAGACATTTATGAGGCTGTTTTTGAAGTTTTATTTGTTACTATGTCACCATAGCTGTATTTATATTTGTAAAAATGTGTTTTATACTCAGATTCTTTTTTCTCTCGCTTTATTGGCAAAGGTTTTCCTGTTATGCTGTTGGTGGTGCTATTGCCATGTGTATTTAGAATTGTAAAGCACTATATCTTATTCAAAAAACATCCCCTCTGTGTTTGATGGCAGTCAAATTTAAGTCTTCTCCTGTCCCTGTGGAGAACTGTGGCTTCTGTTATATATTATCTAAAGTCTAAAGATACACGTTGTTATTGGTGACCACGTCAGTGTGTCCTCGAAAAGGACCCATGAAATGATAATCCCTCCGGTAATACCAGCATGCATTGTCTTCTACTTGAATCACAGTATGAGAACGGATATCTGCATGGACAGAAATGGTAGCAGGCCTATAATTCAAGCATTTGTAATGATTGTATTCACTGGGGATGCCACAGCGGCCCCAATAGGGCCAGGCAGGGCAGTGTTCGCTCGTCATGAGTGCAATGTGCTTATGCTAATGGGCCATAGATCTAAATGACCTTCAATAGCCAAGAGCGAACTATACCATCTCTGAATTCTAAAAAGACTTCTGGGGATAATTTCAAATGACCTAAATAATTTTTAGTCTCGGGGGCAGGGGACTGTAGATATTATGCCAGTGTACTTTAAAAGCTCTAAGAGGCCAATTAATGTGTTTCTATCGACATAATCTTTTGTAATGCAGAAAACACACTGGAAAAAGAGGTGCATTAGCACTTTGTAGTGGCATAAGTTATGAGGCTCGAAATGGAAATTAGCAGGTAGGGATCAGGGTCACAGAAATTATTCCAGACGGGGGATAGAAAGAGTAACACCCTACTAATGATTGTAATTTGTAGATAAGCTGTGTGTCTGTTGTTTGTTAATGAATCACCGACAGTTAGAGATCAAGAGTATGATGACACAGACCATGGTTATGTGGGTCCAAGTGGAAGCGTCGTCACTGCTCATACTGATGCTGACATTACACTGGTGGATCTGAGATGCACTGAGGCCCGAGGCGCTACACTCATCTTCCTCCTGCTCCCTTTTTAGGCTCGCCAACATTCGGAGCTCCTCATCATCGTCATCCCCATGCATCCTCAGACTGCCAAGGTGCTGTAAGTCGTAATGACTGGAATCAACAGGCTTGTGTATCGGCTCGTCTTCTTCCTTTGAAATAATCACCCATGAAACAAAAATAACTTGTTGAGAAGCAATCCAAAATACAATACTAGCAATTGGTCAAGGTAATAATACACTTAAAATTGACAAACAAGGTAGTGTAAATTGTAAAACAACAGACAGTAGCCCTTGGCAGAGCTCAAAGCAGCTTTGAACTTTTGTCTTTAAACGGTGCATCTATTGGTTGAGGGACCACGCTAACTTGATTTGCGTGACAAAGGGCGATGAAGCCTGGTGTTGCCATGGTGTTGTATCAATGGCAGTCAGTAAACCAGGGATGTAGGGAGGGGAAACAAACTCCATGTCATATTTCACTGACAACCCTTCAGTCAAAGGCTTCACTGCATGCTGCCTGCTAGAGTTGGCACAAATCAGCAGTCAGGAGCTGCACTGATGAAGGATGCTGGGATATGTCTCAGCAGTGAGTTGTGTAAATGCAGAAAGCAACAGCCAAGTGACAGATCTCCCTTCAGGCCTTCCGATCGCTGCAGTCGACTATCCTCTGATCCTGGATCTTTCAACTGGAGCAGGGGCCTACCTCAATTTGTAACAGACAGTAGTCTGATCCTCTTTAGCGAGGCAGTACAAACTTTTCCACCAGTGCCCAAATCAGCAGTTTTCACATATTACCATAGACAATGAGAGACAACTAGACAGAGAACCACCAGAGCTGTTGATAAGCTACAATATGACACGAGGCCTTAGCACATCTGCTCTCAAGATGAGTATAATTTTAACAGTAATCTATCTACTCAACCATTTCAAATGCAATGACAATGGGTCCATGGTCAAACGGAATTTAATCGAGCTAAAATGTATTTAACCAATCTGCATTAATCGATGTTTGAGCTAGAATATAAAAATATATATTTTTATTTTGTTGTGTTTTGTGTCTTCTGTTGGGTCTGATCCAAAAGCTTTTTCTGAGGATTGTTCCAAGAGGTTCAGTAGTAAATGTAAAGGCCATAAAACCAAGATAGTTAGATAAGGTAAATCTCTGTAGAGCTGCAAAGGTAATTCGTGATTTTACAACTGAAAACCACCCCTTTGCTTTTATAGTAAGGCTATTTAAATGTTATTGTTGTTTATGTTTATAGAATAATTATATCATTTTGCGAGACTCTTAGTATTGGCTAATACCCAAAGTCCAGGTATCGGAAATGGTATAGTGAAGGGAAAAAGGGTATCACAACATCTCTGGTATGTTCTGAAGTCAAATTGTTTTAACTTATAACTGACATCTGTGTTAAAGGTCCAGTGTGTAAGATTTATTTTAAAGGGATCTATTGGCTGAAATTAAATATAAAATAATCCCAGTGATGTTTTCACAGTGTGTTTTATCCAAATTATTTTAATTGTTGTTTTCTTTACTCTAGAATGGGCCCTTTATATTTAAATACTTTATATTTAAATCAGCAGCGGGAGGCCGCCATGTTTTTTACAGTAGCCCAGAAAGGACACACTAAACACTGTTTGAGTTCTTATGACAACTGAAGGTTTCCACACGTTGTCTTTCATGTTTGAAACGGGAGGGTGAGGTGAGGGAAATTCAGTTGCAACATGCAACTTCACCACCAGATAAAATTAATTTTACACACTGAACCTTTAAAGAGCATGTCTGCTTTATGAGTGTTGACACTTTTATTGCTTTATAATGTAGCGTCAAACAGGGGAAGCACACATGAAGACAAATAGGTGATGATGATGATGAGAGCTCTTCAGTTAAATTAAAGTGGAAATTCAAAGTAGTAATTTCTTTGTCTCACCGAAAATATAAGGAGACATTTCACCACGGCTGTGAGCTGATGTTTGAAAGCTGTACCTTGTCCAGTGGGGAGTCATCCATTTTGACTTCTTGTAGGAGACTCCTGGAAATTGTTACTTTGTTGTTCCCATTCTGCACCTGGTTCGCTCCCTCTGATGCACGTGGGCCACACTTGTGTTCCTGTCGGCTGGTTGTCACACTGGGTGAGAGGCAGTGTGTGGGGGCCATTGCAGCTGGTTCAGCTCCCCCAATAGACAGAGACTGAATATGGATATTGCTGGTAGCTGGACAAAGCACTTTCAGAAATGTGTGGTCCATGTTAGGCAATTTGGGACGGGCTTTATGTCGCATATTCAAGGTTGGATCTGGAGTTCTGGGAGTAGCAGGAATGGACTCACTAGTTTGTTGTTGCTGCATTGTGGTGTTGCTCTTATCCTGAAAGAAATAGAAAAACCAATCAAAAAATGATAATCAAAAATGATTGTCATTGATATACTGTTAAAGGGATAAGTAATCATGATCATGTTTCTGGTGATACCTTAACAACTTTAATGTTATGTTCTGCTGTTTTACACAGTATGATGAGATGGCAAACAGTCATCGGGACTGACAGGTTTTGCTGTCTTATTTCTAAATTAACCTGGCCATTAAAAGGGGTAAATCTGCTCATCTTTGCCACTCACTAATGTAATTCAAAATTTGTTTCCTACCAATAAGGTTATGCAACACGTGTTACATTGTTCTTTTCAACAATATGGCAAAACACTGCTGAAAAGTTTTGAATATTAAACAGTCGCCCCTGCAGGCTTGAAAGATATTGATTTTTAAAAAGTTTGCTCTTCTACTGAGGACGGCAGCTGGATTCGCAACAGAGCAATAATGGATTCCATTGTGACCCAGTTTCACTACAAAGAAAAGAAAAAACACAGATGGAAACTTTGTTGAAAAAAACTCTTGCAGCAAAAAATACTTCCGCAAAGCGACACATGGAAACCAATTGACCATGTATAGACCCCAAGTGTAATAAGTGTGGATAAAAACAACTAATGAGAAACTGGCTAACCTGTGTATTTAGCCATTGGAACGTACTATGCATATTACAGCATGCATGGACAGAGCAGAAGTGATTATGCTGAACAGGTGATGGAACTGGGTCACAGCTGGAATCTACTGGGACTGTTTGTGATTCGAAGCTGTGAACGTCCAAGATGCAACCTACAAACTCATCACCGCTATGACTCGAGTCAATGCAATCCTTTCAGTGCACTGTCTAAACAATGTTAAAAACTGAAATAGCAAAGACCAAATGTCTTGTAAGATATATATCAGATATGATGTGTGCACGTTGTGAATTTGATAATTCATGTTCTCTTTTGGAAGTTCAACTTTAAAACATAAGATACTGTAATAAGCCACATATTCTAAGTTTCCAGAATATAATAAATTAGATGCACAAATGTGGAATACTCACACACTCATCATCCATCTACAGATATCAATATAATTATTAATATATCATATTTAAAAATGTAGACAGATTGAAGTTTTCCTTACTACTTAATTCTCCTCACTCTATCTTTTCAGTTCTGTCTCAATCTCTGAGCTTTGTTTTGGGGTGAAGAGTTATCACAATCCCTTTGAGTTTTGTTCAACATTCTGATTTAATGCTTTATCATTTTCATAAGTGCTAGCCTCTATGTTGAGAGCATGTCTAAATGGTGTTTGAGCATGAGCGGTATGGATGCAATTTTCTTCACAACAGCATATTGTATTAAAATAACCTTAACCTGATAATATCACTCATTTTACCTTAGTCCATTGGATCTCATAGATGTCAAAATGGTCAATACACAGAAGGTTCCTCGCTTTGTTTTGCTTTTTAATATTTCTCTATGTTTAAGAACAAACGTCAGCTCACAAGAATTGCATAAACCTGATGCAACACCTTGAAAGATGACATTGCTTCAAGTTGAGGATTGAGCAACCTGACATGAATGAATAAAAATCTAAATCAGGCCAATTTCATCGCCTTAGCAAGCTAAGGCATGTGGGTCTGAAAAGATTAGGTCAAATGATTCACAACCTGTATTTTCAGTAAATTTGGCATCTATTGCCTTAGAAATATAGTAGATTGCATCTTTCTATTATTATTATTCCCATTGTGGGTATCTATGAAGTTGGTCAGTTGGTCTATTTAAACCACTTTGGACACAGACTTCAAATGTTGCTGCAATGCATGATCAGGTGAAGGCCTTTTTTTAAGACATATACACAAACGTTTCTGCTATAGACAAAACTTGACAACCGAAATTATTTTCAGTCAAACCCAAAATTTAAATAATGTATACGGTCATTTTGAATCTGCAACAATTGGTAGTTTTAAAAATCCAAAATGAAAACACCAGGCACATCTGTGCTCAAGGAACAATACATGTACATCTATTTTGTCAATTTTGAATATCTGTTGCTTCGAATTGAAAATGTGAGTGGTCGACATGCAAAGATAGAGAGTGTTTCTGAACTTGATGAATTTGAAAGTCGATTATATTATGCATGGTGATCATGGTTGTTAATTTATTAGATAGAGTAACACATAATATTCATTTGACCTGAATCTTTTAAAATTGCCGATCTCCTCTTCAGCAGGAGATTATCAGGGTTATCTGACATACCGGAGCTGCTCTGTAATATCAGTGTATTAGGAAAAAAACTGAAATATTTATGTCACTACAACATAACCCATTTTAAGTTTAAAATAAAGTTGTGGCCAATGACACAGCATTTTCCTATATTGGGAATGTGAACAAGTCATTAGCTGCCACTAAATGAGAGAAATGGTGGAGAGCAGTTTGAGAAACTAATTCACATTCACATTCTCAGATGACAACTTCAAATTTCACCCTGAAGAGATACTCCAATACTCCAACAGGACACCAACACAACATGTTTTCAATGTATGTGGCATTATGCAGTTTGCAGTTTTGTGCTCCAGAAAATATTTGACCATAGTCCAACCTTGAGTGTGCTGTATAGTTGAAAGAGTTGTGGTTGTTGAATATGTGATCTATTTGGATACCCGAGGGAGGAAAAGCATTGTGTCTGTGTCTTCATGGGAAATCATAAACAAGTGTGACTGTCTTATTTTCCCCCGTGAAGAATAGCCATTGACCATTTCACAGAAAAGCTGATGGTGAGCCAGAAAACATAAAAATGTCTTTCTTTCTGCTGGTCGTGTCAGAGCAATGTGCATTGAACTGAAGCAAATTACTTACTCTGCTCTTTCAGAATGAAATGACTCTGTATGACTCTCTCTCTAAGCCTCGTTCACACAGAGTGATGGCAGCCGGTTTCCAGGTGTAATTTGAAGAGGTGCTCCTTTAAACACCCCCTCAGAAACACTTTCAGTGTTATTTCATTGTGATGTGCCGTAATTTAATTTTCTGTGTGTGCATTTCTCGCACCTCAGCTGTTTAATATAGTTGGCATCAGTTATCATAGTGCCAGTGGATATTCTCTTTATGGTTGCATAAGTGGTTTTTACATGTGAAGGGGAATTTTCATCAATAGCTATATAACCAATGTCCAATATACATGGATTAAATGCTTATGCAACCACAGTGAGGAGGTATAACACATAATTAATCTAACTTAGATTTGCAAAAATGTTTTGCTGTTTATCAAGTGTTTGTTATTCTTTGTCCATAAATAAGAGTTTAAAACCTCAACGTTTAATCGAGGTCAAAAACATTCTTTAAACTAAAAAGACAATGTGACATTGATCCTTTTAATTGTCGATATCGATGATATTAAAATGTTGATTTAATGTTTGGCCATATCATCTAAATCCTCAACCTGACTACAGACATAGCAATATTAATAGCAACAGAGCAAGTTTCCAGTTGAAGCCAGTAAAAGAGATGCTAATGGTTGTTACACAACTTTCACACACACAGTCAAAGTAAACTTGACATGCGTTGTGTAAGTTTTGATAATATTACATGCTCAACATAATATTATGTTGAGCATGTAATATTATCAAAACTTACACAACGCTTTGCTATTGAGGTTGCATGTTTTATACTACTTATAAATGAGTAGTGAGTGAAATTAGTATTTATGCATGATCAACAGCCTGTGAAAGCAAAGCATCATGGGATTTCTCTCCTCCTTGCCAACAGCAACAGTATTGGTCTTTTTTGTTGTTGTTTGGGGATTAGTCCGGTGCTGATAATAAGCTAATTATATGCACTTTGGGTAAGTAAATCAGGCAAAATGACAACCACAGAAACTTAGAAAATTGTGCGCATTTAACAGAGAAGAAAAAAGGTAGGAAACTATTCTCTAAACCAACAAGAAATGCAGAATCTCCAGAAAACTATGGATGGAGCTTTACCTTCATTTTACAAAGCTAATTCTAAAAAGTATCCAATTTTTCCAAACAAACCTGTTTATTCTGGTTATTCAAACTTATTTCACAGTTTGACTTCTATCTGCACATGCACACAATGTCAATGGAACATCTTTAAGGTTTTAGAGAAGACTCTAGACTCACAGAATATTCATGTTAAGCATCACACAGTAATCAGTGATCAGTGAGTTCAACAATACACCATTCAAAAGCTAATTCAAAACATAAACACGACGTACATTACCAGTTCCTACATTTCTTTAGGTGTTTGTGTTTTTGGGTGGATTTAGTCTTTAACAATGTGCACTGAACATGAACATTATGCTTGAATGCCAAAAAATTGCATTAAAGTTAAACTAATCAGCAGTGCAAAAACATGAGGTTCTTAAATCCGAATGATCAGACTTATAAAGTTTTAAATAAGTAAAAG